GGTGCACCGTGCAACCGAACTATCTCTCTAACGTATAAGTCTGCCAATTTGTCCAAGGAGGAGTCACGTCTGACGGGTAGAAAATGAGCGGACTTTGTCAACCTGTCAACAATGACCCAGATGGCGTCATTCTTTCGTGAAGATCGTGGCAATCCGATCACAAAGTCCATAGTGATCCTTTCCCACTTCCATTCCGGAATGGTAGGAGGGTGCAGCAACCCTGTCGGAACCTGGTGCTCAGCCTTGACTTGCTGACAAGTCAAACAGCGCGCAGTGAACTCGGAGATTTCCTTTTTCATAGCTGGCCACCAATAGGATTTCTTCAAGTCCTGATACATCTTGTTACTACCCGGGTGCATAGTGTATACGGTTTCGTGAGCCTCGCGCAACAAGCGATCCCTCACTCCACCGCGGGGCACCACTAGGCGTTCACGATAGTACAAGACTCCGTCATCGCGAATTGCAAACTCGGGCCTCTTCCCTGTAGGAACTAACTCTCGAGTCTTCTGACAAAACTCATCATCTCTCTGTGCCGTACGGATCTCCTGCTCTAACGGAGACTAAAGCTATAGCTCGGCTAACGATTTTCTGCTCAAAGCATCGGCCACGATGTTAGCCTTGCCCGGGTGATACTCAATGACTAAATCGTAATCCTTGATTAGCTCCAACCATCGACGTTGTCTAAGATTCAATTCCTTCTGGGTGAGTAGGTACCTCAAACTCTTGTGATCGGTGAAGATGTGAATCCTCTCTCCAAAGATGTAGTGGCGCCAAATCTTCAAGGCGAACACCACGGCTGCCAACTCTAAATCATGTGTCGGGTAGTTCTCCTCGTGAGTCTTCAACTGTCTCGATGCGTAGGCCACTACCTTACTCATTTGCATCAGTACACAACCTAAGCTGCTATGAGATGCGTCACTATAGATGGTATACTCGATGCCAGGAGTAGGTTGAATCAAGACTGGTGCCTGGGTCAGGCACTCCTTCAGTTGATCAAAACTGCGTTGGCACGCTTCTGACAACTCAAATTTGATGTCCTTCCGCAGTAGCTTGTTCAATGGAGTAGCGATCAAGGCGAAGCCCTTAACAAATCGACGATAGTAACCGGCTAACCCAAGGAAGCTCCTCACCTCACGAACATTCCGCGGAGTCTTCCAGTCCACTATGGCTGAAATCTTGCTGGGGTCTACCTGGATACCGGTGGCAGAGATAACATGTCCTAAGAATGTCACCTCACTCAACCAGAATTCACACTTGGACAATTTTGCATACAGCTTGTGCTCTCTCAACACACTCAAAACCAATTGCAAATGTCTAGCATGCTCCTCCTGAGTCCGTGAATAAACCAAGATGTCATCGATGAACACTACTACGAA